CACCTTGTTGTATCGAAACAAGACTGCTGTTTTGCCTCTCACCTGTAGGGCATTTTTGATACACTTGTTTCACTTTTTGACCCTCTGCACAGACTTCAGCTGCTGCTCACAGACATGCATTTTTTTTTGAAAATTCTAAGTACAGACAAAGCACAAATCTCTTAAAGGAACCACACATTTTAGCTTCCTACCTTCCACCTCACAATTACTCTACCCAACTTCATAACAATTAGTAATTGATTCTAATACTTTTCCAACAATAGATGCGAGGCTGATCAGTTATAGTTACCCACTTTTTGCCTCCCTCACTTTTTGAATAGGGGTGTCACATTGACAGTTTTCCAATCCTCTGATGCTTCTGCAGAATCCATGGATTTTTGGAAAATTACAACCAATGCATCCACTATCGCTGTAGCTACCTCTTTCAGGATTCTCAGACACAAGCCATCAGGACCAGGCTTTAGACCCATTAGTTTGTCTAATGCGACTTCTCTAGTGATGATCACGGCAACTCCTACCCTATACATTTAGTGTTAATGGCATTTAGAAGTATCTACCATTATTAAAAATGTTGCAAAATATCTGTATAATTCCTCTGCCATCTTGTTGTTCCCCATATTATACATTAACAATCTGGACAAATGAACTGAAGGCATTGCTGCTCAGTTTGCAGATGACACAAAGATAGGTGGAGGGATAGGTAGTTTTGAGAAAGCAGAGAGACTGCAGACAGACTTGGGGCAGGTTAGGAGAGTGGGCAAAATAAACAGCAGATGGAATACAATATGGAAAGTCTTGAAGTTAGGAAGAATAAAGGCAGAGATTATTTTCAAAATGGGGAAAGGCTTTGGAAATCTGAAGCACAAATGGACTTGGTAGTCCTAGTTTAAGATTCTCTTAAGGTTAAGATGCAGGTTCAGTTGGCAGTTTGGAAGGCAAATGCAGCATTAGCATTAATTTTGAGATGGCTCGAATACAATAGCAGAGATGTACTGCTGAGGCTGTATAAGGCTTTAGACAGACGAATTTGGAATATTATAAGCAGTTTTGGATCCCGTATCCAAGGAAGGATGTACTGGCCTTGTAGGGGGTCCAAAAGAGGTTCACAAGAATGATTCTGGGAATGAAGGCCTTGTCATATGAGGAGCAGCTAAGGACACTGGGTCTATATTTTATAGAATTTAGAAAGATGAGGGGGGATATCATTGAAACCTACAGAATACTGAGCAGCCTGGATATAGTGGACATAGAGAAGATGTTTCCACTGGTAGGATAGACTAGAACCCAAGGGTACAACCTCAGAGTGAAGGGATGACCCTTTACAATAGAGATGAGAGGGAATTTCTCCAGAGGGTGGAAAACCTTAGAACTCTTTGTGCAGAAGGCTGTGGAGGTCAAGTCATTCAGTGTCCTCAAGACAGAGATAGATAGGTTCACGATTAGTAAGGATACCAAGGATTACGGGGAGAAAGCACGAGAATGGGGCTGAGAAACATGTCAGCCATGATTGAATGTTGGAGCAGACTCGATGGGCCAAATGGCCTTGTTCTGCTTCTATACTTTACTTCTCATATCTATCTTCCCAGATTCATTTCCTAAGGGTTTCCTACATTCACACTGAAGTTTCTCTTTCTTTCTATATATTCAAAGAAGTTCTTATTGTCAGTTTTCTTTTAATATTCCCTGCTAGTTTGCCCTCATAGTTCATTTTCTCTTTCTTTATTAAATTTTTAGTCCTCCTTTGCTGGATTCTGGATTTATCCCAATCTTTGGGGCCACAACTGACTTTTGCATCCTTATATGCTTTTTCTTTCAACTTTATACTGCGCTGAACTTCCTTGGATACCCATGCTGGTCTATCCCTCTTAGAATCTTTCCTACTTACTGGGAAATATTTTTCTGAGAGTCATAAATTGCCTGCTTAAATGTCTGCCACTGCTTGCTTACTGTCCTTCTTGCTAATCTATTTGCCCAGTTTGCTTGATCTAACTCATTTCATTATAATTCCCTTTATTTAAGTTAAACACAGCTGCCTCTGACCCAACAGTCAATCTGATGTTGAAGCTCCTATCTTGTGTGAATGAGAGTCCTGGTTGTTCAGAAATGCTACCAGGCCTTCTACAATCCAGTTATTTCTTTAAATGACGGCTTCTCCTGCCTTGCCGCTCTTCTCCCAATCCCTTGCTTGAGGGACTGGGCATTTACATTTCAAAAGTAATCCAAGTGCTGCAAAATACTTGCGCACTTAAGCATGCGTATGAGCAAAGAGTGTTTTCTCCTAAAGATCAAAATAATTAGGTATTGGATTGAAACTCAATATGCTGCTCCAACTAATGGTATTGATGATAAAGAAAGCAATGCTGTTACAGAGTTAGCATATAGCCTGCAAATATTACTAATAATAAATCTGAAAAAAAGAGCACAATACACAATCCAGGAAAGAAACCAACCAGGCAGGTCTAAATCTGAAAGGGGTATTAATACAGCTTCATACTAATGCTGCAATCGTAATGGAGTTCAGTAACAGAGTCTGAGCTTGCCCTTTCCCAGGAAGAGAGTGCTACCTTGCTCAAGGGCATTTTTGGATTTTAAAAATCATTTCTGCTATATGAGTTTTCTATTGACAGAAAATCCCTGGCTTTGCAGATCGTGCAAAAACATCTTTTAATAGCTATCTTCTTTTCCCCAGAATTTTTCCTCAATAAAGACAGTGAGCACAAAGGATCAAAATTACCCACCCATTGTTATTTTTTTCTTGTCAGACCCTCACAGTGCAATACAAGTTGAGAAAGTGACTTGATGCACATTAATTATGCTCAATATCAATTCACAGAACTTGTAAAATGACTGCAAAATGCCCAATAAGATTCGCAAATAAATAACTATTTCAGAATCCATCAAAATAGTTGATTTTAGAAATTGAAAACATTTTTAAAAATTATCTATGCATGATCATCATTGGTGTACTGGCTTTTCATGAAAAAATACATTGTGAAAATTTTAAAAGTTTTGAACTACAATGAAGAGTTCTTACCTTTTTAACTCCTTGAGCATTTCAGCTTCCTGTAAAGTTGTCTGGGCAGCAGCTTCTGTCTTTTTACTCTGTATTCACATAGTAATTATTTTTAACAGCAGTACTTCATCCAAACAAATTGTTCTTTCATAAAGAATACTTTTGCTACGGAGGTACAGAGGTCAGTCAGGATCCTTCTTCATATAAAATGTTACTGCAACAGTACAAGGTGTTGCAGAAGCCACATCTGGAATACTCTGAGCAGTACTTGTTCACTTATTTAAGGAGAGATCTTACTTAATGTTCAGAGAAGGTTCATTAGGATGATCCCCAGTATGAAAGGGTTGTTTTATGAGCAAAGGCTAAACAGACGTGGACTCTACTCATTGGAACTTAGAAGAATGGGAGGTGATCTAATTGAAACATATTGGATTCTTAAAAAGGCTTGACAGGGTAAATGTTGACAGCATGTTTTCCCACATGGGAAAGTCTGGGACTAGAGGCCATAGTCTCAGGATAAAGGGATGCCAATTTAAAACTGAGATGAGGACGTGTTTCTTCTGAAAGTGAGAGCCTTTCGAATTCCTTGCTGTCTTCAGCTGTGGGGACAGAGACCTTGTGTGTACTTAAGGGTTATGGTGAATGGTCAAGAAAATGAATGTGAGGAATGTTGGATCAGCCATGATCCTATTGAAGGGTGGAGCAGGCTTGAGGAGCCAAATGCCTACTCGTGATCCTATTTCTTATGGTCTAATGAGTCCTCAGTTTGTAATTTGGACTCAAAGACATTCCAGTCAAAGTAGACTGAGACTGTAGGATTGGATAGTGTAATTGTATATCAAATAAACTTTCTAAGGGATAGTAGACCTTGTACTGACCCAAATGGCAATGCTGCATACAAGACTCCTGAATTCAGGGCTCCAAAATTGGTAACAGAGCTAAATGATTTTATCTGAAATTTTGGGTCTAGCATTTCTGATCCTCAAGATTAGAACAGGGGATGTATAAGTTACACAGGCATTTACTGGAAAGTACTACTTTTTTTTATTATTGCTGAAAAGAAAGACATTTTGTTGAAACTTCTGGTCTTGCACTAATCAGGATATCTCCATGATTGGTAAATGTTAAACGATCCTCCACCAGTTTGTGCCACAGGAGAAAAGCATGCTTATTGGTCTTTCACAGGATATGGGTGTCACTGGCTAGGCAGCATTTGCTGTCCATCCATAAATGGCCTTGAGAAAGTGCTGGTAAGTCACCTTCTGGAATTGCTGCAATCTGTGTGGCGTAGATACATCTACAATACTGTCAGGAAGAGCATTTCAAGGTTGTAACACAGCAACAGTGAAGAAATAGCAATATAGTTTGAGTCAGGATGGTGTGTGGCTTGGAGAGGAACTCACACTCACCTTTAGACAAGTGACTATAAAGGTCTTGTATGTCAATTTTATTTACAAAGATAATCAGTTTTAAACAAACATCCAACAGTAATCAACCCTTTTTCATTTGCCATAAGAGGATTTGAAAAATAACTCAACATTCTGATTCTGGCTGAATTTCAGCTGAGAAACAACTAAACACACAGTGTAACAGTTGGCAAGTATGAAAGATGTTTGCACTCAGAGACCTCTTGGATGGTTGGGAAAGGTCAATAAATCAGAAAAAATAAGTATTATTTGCCTACAGATATTACATGCTGATGCACTAACATTTATCTTTGCCACTGATGACACTGCTTTTTCCTTAGGACCTTGGACATTAACTTCTTGAAGTGATTCACCACTCTTTCAAAAAAAGCTGTGCTGAATCCTTTACATTAGCCCTTCCATAACTTCTCAACCATCTTCAGCTGCTTCATCAATGACCTTCCATCCAGCATAAAGTCAAAATGGGGCATTTGCCAATGATCACACAATGTTCAGCACCACTCGCAACTCCTCATATACTAGAGCAGTCCATGTCCAAATGCAGTATAAACTAGACAATATACAATCTTGGGCAGACAAGTGGCTAGTAACATTTGTGAGAAATCAAAGCCAGGCAATGACCATCCCCACTAATAGACAATGTAACCACTGCCTTTTGATATAGAATGGTATCACCATCACTGAATCTCCCACTATCAACATCCTGGGTTAAACTGAAACTGAACTAGACTAGCCATACAAATACAGTGGCTAAAAAAATCTGAATCTTGGAATACTACACTGAGTGACTCACCACCTGACTTCCCAAAGCCTGTCCACCATCTACTAGGCACAAGTCAGAAGTGTGACAGTATATTCCAAACTGCTTGGATGAGTACAGCAACACTCAAGAATCTTGACATTTTCCATAACAAAGCAGCCTGCTTGGTGAGCACCATATCCACAAACATCTACTCTCTCCACCTCCCACACTCAGTGACAGCAGCATGTACCATCTACAAGACGCAGTGCAGAAATTCACCAAAGATCCTTAGCAGCAATTTCTGAACTTACAACCACTATCATTGAGAAGGACAAGGGCAGCAGACATTTGGGAACACCAGCACCTGCAAGTTCCCCTTCAAGCCACTCACCAACCTGACTTGGAAGTATATCACTGCTCCTTCAGTATCATTGAGACAAAATCCTGGAATTCAAGATTGTGGGTCTACCTACAGCAAATGGCTTGCAGCGGTCAAGAAGGCAACTCACTACAGCTTCTCAAGGGCAACTAAGGATGGACAGTAAATGCTGGCTCAGCCAGCAATGCCTTCACCCTATGAGTGAATAAAAAACACTATGGTTTATGAGCTTCAGTGTAGTCACAAGATGAGATTTTGAGGTCTTAAGCTCCAGGGCTGCAAGGGCAGTGATATAACACTAACTGATTTCTAATTGGGTCACTTTGAGTGCTTCCCTCTTCATTGTTGGTAGGAAATGCATAACGTACTGCTCTCTGAGGTCCAATTGCTGCTGTAAGAAAAGCCTATGAAAATGTAGGTATTCATTTTTTTTGGTGAAACCCTAACTATCCCCCCATACTTAAGTGCTGTTCACCCCAAAAAAAATCTCCATTCCCCCTGCTCAGTGATGGAAGCCCCTTACATCCCACAAAAACTCATATAACCCCTAGACTTCACTTTGAAGCATTAAAATGAGAAACACCATTTTACATCATGGTACTAGGCCAAATTCAGGACTCTAACGGATTACAGTGTTACAGTATAAAAAGTATGTAAAGCTGCACAATGACTTGGGGAAATAGTCTTTCTCAGTCAAACATCCCACTGAAGTAGACACAAACATACCTTGCAAATAACTGAGGGTGATTTTCACTACAATCAAATCAAGGTATCACAGTGTGGGGCTAGAGGAGCACAGTAGGCCAGGCAGCATCAGAGGAGCAGGGAAGTTGACGTTTCGGGTCGGGACCCTTCTTCAGAAATTGGGGAGGGGGAAGGGAGCTCTAAAATAAATAGAAAGAGAAGGGATGGGGCTGGGGAAGGTATGACGTGCTGCTCCTTCAGTTTCCAGGTGACGTCATTGTGACACTGGAGGAAGCTCACGATGGACAGGACCTGTGCTCTGTTCGTGACAAACAACAACGCCTTCCGGTCGCGAACCATTTCAACTCCCCGGACGACATGTCCATCCTGCGCCTCTTCCAGTGTCACATTGACGCCACCCAGAAACTGGAGGAGCAGCACGTCATATTCTGCCTTGGGAGCCTACAATCCAATGGTTTCAATGCGGACTTTCCCAGTTTCAAAATCTCCCCACCCCCTGGCCTCATCCCATGACCAACCCTCCCTCTCATCCCCACCCCCTTGACCTGACACAACCTGTACATCTTCTCTCCCACTTATCCGCCACTCCCACCTCATTGACCAATCGCCAGCATAGCCTACCTGCACTCACCTATGACCATCCCAACTACCTTCCCCAGCCCCATCCCTCCTCTCTCTATTTATTTTGGAACTCCCTTCCCCCTCCCCCATTTCTGAAGAAGGGTCCTGACCTGAAACATCAACTTTCCTGCTCCTTTGATGCTGCCTGGCCTGCTGTGTTCCTCCAGCTCCACACTGTATTATCTCTGACTCCAGCATCTGCAGTTCTTACTATCTCTAATCAAATCAAGCTGCTTGGAATACAAAACATAAACTAATCAACTCATGATGCAGAGAAAGCAAAATATCAATTTCAAATTGTTTACTATTTATGTCACAACACTGCAAAATCGTACCTTTTTACCTCTTGATTTTTTCCGCCTTTTCTTTGATTTTGAGTCTCCTGTTGCCTACATGTTTAAAATAAATGAAAAAAGTGCTTTTAATTTGTTCAGATTCTTTTCAAAAAAAAAGCAAAATTAACTTTTAAATGACTTTACAATATACTGATTAGGAAGTCCATTAGCTCAGTTGTCTGGATGGCTGGTTTGCGATGCAAACAGTGATGCCAATAGTGGGTTCAATTCCCACACTGGCTGAGGTTATCATGAAGGACACTGCTTCTCAACTTCTCCCCTCATCTGAGGCATAGTGACCTCCAGGTTAAACTATCAGCAGTCGTCTCTCTCTAACGAGACAGTGACTAAGCGCTCAGTTCAGAACAAGATAATCTGAGCCCTGAGCAATTGCCTTCAATCCAAATTCCAAAATTACAGACAGCATGATGTTATTTTGTTGCTTCCCAAAAAATATTGCTGTGCCAGAAGAAAAATAAAGTGTGTTTGTCATGGCAAGCAGTTAACATATCTCCCACTTTACCGATGGTTGTAACTGCAGTCCACAAATTGGGTCATCCCTGACCTTCCAAAACAAAATGGGAAGTCAGTGGTGACAAAAAAATGTTCTTGCACAGATATAAATGCAAAAGTTGAAGTCTAGGTTTGCAATATGTACATTATAGTAATTCACTTTCTAAAATTGCTTCATTTAATGTTGCTTTGGTTTAACATCAGTAAATTAATGGGCCTGTAATCTTGTTGAGTATCGTGTGATTTGTTTTAAAATTATTTCTTGTGGTACCTGATTAACATGTCCCACTAGCCCTGATCTCTCCAATTGCAGCCTTTTCCCCACACTTCTGAGCTGTGACGTTTCCCAACTTCCAGTTGTGGTCCCTTCCTCCCCACTCCCAACTTCTTTTCCATTCCCAACATTTGACATGGTCTCTTCCCCCATCCCAACTAAACCATGAGCTGCTTCCCTCTTCTGGGCTGCATTTCCACTCAAGATCTCAAGCCAATCTGAATTTGAAGTTGTGGAAGAGTGAGCCTTGATGGTTCAGAAATACTGCCAGAGTTTTTACAGTGCAGGTTTTTAAGTGACTTTCAAAACTGCTCCTGTTTCACTACTCTTCTTCCAAGTCCTCTCTCACCGCAAAAGTTCGGGACAGGGAAACTGTGAGCAAGAGCATTTAAAAGTAACATGGACTGTGAAATCTTCAGCACTTCTGGCATTCACACTTCCTCAAAATTGGAGCTCCAAATTTTGATTGATCTTGGATCTCTAATGCGAACACAGTTCTGGAAGAAGGAAGTAGCAACAGGGTGGGTTGGAAGATGGCAGATGTAATTCACAGATTGAGGATTGGGTGAGAGGTCACAACTCGGAAGGGTGAGGAGTTGGGAGGGTTTGCAGTGACCAGGGTCTACCTTAGACATTCAGGAAGCAGAATCACCAATTAGAAGTTGCTACTTTAAGTAGCAAATTACACACTTCTTTCATAAAGAATTATTATACTTAAAATTATTTCACTTAAAGAATTTATTTCATTTACCAATATAGGAACTTAGCAACGTAAAATATTTCAATTAAGAAGGTATAATGCTTTAATATTTGTACCTTTCTGACAAGGTCCTACAGAACCTGACTACAGTTTTATCATTGATCCCGATGGGAACCATTGTTTCACTTAAAGTTGTGATTTTCAGGGATGCAAGCATAACTTCAACTGAGGACTTACTGCATTTCTAATTTGGCACTGGGGCACTTAAGAATGGCACAGGCTTACATTTCACACAGTGCTGAAATTTGCAAACTGAAATTGTATTTTAAAGTTAAGATCTGTACGGTCTGCTCCTGTTGAAATACTGCCGTAAAATAGCTACATTCCATATCAGGGGTCATGAGACCCATTCCCCAAATATACAAGGTTAAATTTTTCATGATGCACACAAATAGAAAATTGGATTGGAAGAGACGATGTCTGACCTGCAATTACATCTAGATTACTTTTTACATTAAAAGTGGTGATGTAGCATGTCTAAACTATGGAAGCACTAAGGCAAGACATAATGGGGATAAAAATCACATCAGCACTTGTTGTGTGGCACTGAAGTCTATTGCTACCTTCTACCATAAACTGCAAAATGTTCAACAGCCTTCACTAATTATCATGGTGAAATGTTAACTCTTAAAGTCCACTTTGATAGTTCAATAAGTTCACTGAAGCAACATTTATTTCATCAGTATGCTTTAAGGGTATGTTGGTTCCTTCAAGTTCTTGTAAGCACTTCAATAGCTGACCGTGCCAGCTTTTACCCATTTCAAACACCCATTCATTAATCTCTTTCCCATATGCAATACAAAATACAAAGAGCCCATGGATTTCCTCGTGTCAATGATTTAAATTTTCCATGAAGTTGCATCTGGTACCTCCTCTTGCTGCTGCTGACCTCATCCCAGGTTAGCACCGTCTAATTCACTACCATTCTGCAGTTTCTTCCACATCTGCTCCTCCTAACTCATCTCTTCGACAAGGCCTGCTTTTAATTCCCTTGATTCCTCCTCGACCAATTGCTGAGCATTCCATCTTCAACCTTGTACACTTGAAAATATTGTACAGATTCTTTTTATTGAGGCACTCTGTAAAGTGCCTTGGGAGGTTATGTCACACACGGTGCAGTAGCTAAATTAAAAAAAAACTCAGCATCACTTAAGAGCAACCAGGGATGGGCAACAAATGCCAGCTTTTCCAATGTTCTGATCTCAAGAATGAAAAATAAAAGCCACTTGTACAACGAAGAAGAATGATAGTTGTCAAATAATACTATCTTCTGAGACTGGATAGAAGGGGAAATTATTTTTTAAATAATTAAAATCATTCCTAAAATGTTACCAAGTTTTTTTAAGATCAACTAGGTGAACACATCAGTGAGGTCAACACAAGTGACAGAATAATTCAATTCTCATTCGGTTCACTGTCACATGCTTGGAAGTAGCCCGGGCATTTGTCTACAAGCAGTGAAGCAATAGTTGTCGTTGACATAGAGATGAAGAAATACTAAACAGCACACCACTGGATTCACAAAGTCAGTAACGTACAGGAATAGGTTTTGCAAACTCATCCTCTGAGGTCTCCTTTTCCTTATGCTCTTCTGTAGTATCAACCAATTTTACCCCAGGCTTTTGGGTTTCATGCCCTGAAGTAGAAGAGGTTTTGATTACTTTCTTAAAAAATGTGCATTATGTATTCACATCATGAGTAACGTTTTGATATTAACTTGGACTGGTAGTTCTCATAATTGAAAATTAAATGATAGAAACAAGAAGCAGAATAACTAAGTATCTGGGAATACTAGTAGTACATCAAGCAATGATTTGCTCAAAAAAAGCTTTGAATGTGACTAGAAGATGTTGGTGATTTTTGTTTGAACAGTTTAATTTTTGAAGACCGAAAGAACTGTGGATGCTGTAAATCAGGAACAAAAACAGAAGTTGCTAGAAAAGCTCAGCAGGTCTGGCAGCATCTGTGAAGAAAAAAATCAGAGTCAACATTTCCTCAGAAGTGCTGCCAGACCTACTGAGCTCTTCCAGCAACTTCTGTTTTTGTAACTTTTGAAAACCTGTTCTTATATTTGGATTGGGAGTGAAGAAACGTCATGACACCTGCTTGCCAGCTAAATGTTCTTTTGCTTAATTGTAATTGGAGAGAATTTTTTGGTGCTTTCTGAGCATGGATAGCTTAATATAGGACTGATGTCTAGAAAATTCTAGATTTGATCAATTTAAGGAACAGACTAAAAACCAGTACTTTTAGCTTTTGTTTGAGTGATGCTGTGCAGAGCGATCTGGGTGCAGTGGTAAATGAATCACACAGTTAGTGGGAGGAATAGCAAGTGATTAGGATGGCAAATGATATGTTGTTGTTTATGGCAAGGGGAATGATTTACCTAAGTAGGGGAGTTTTAGTGAAGCTGCACAGGCTGTTGGTGAGACCACATTTGGAGTATTGTCACAGTTTTGGTCTTCTTATTTGGAAAGAAAACATACTTGGTTTAGAAGCAGGCTGGGAACATTCAATCAAGTCATTCCTGATGAAGATAAAGTTAACTTTTCAAGAACAAGTTAGGTCTACACCTTTGGAGTTTAGAGGAATGAGAACTTAACATATTGAAACATATAAGATCTTGACTGGACTGGATATCAGGAGGATGTTTCTACTTGTATTGAGTGGTGGTGGTGGCTGAGGACTAAAATTAGAGGACATAGCTTAAGAATAAGATGTCTCCCTTTGAAGACAGAGATGAGGAAAACTATTTTCTTTCAGAGGATTATTAGTATTTGGAATTCTCTTCCCCGGAAAAAAAATGGAACTGGGTCTTTAAATTTATTCAAGGCTGAGACAGATATATTTTTGGTAGATAGTGGAGTCAAGGGTTCTGAGGTGCTGAGAGGAAAATGGAGAAGAGACCACACCAAGATCAGCTATGATCTTATTGAATGCTGGGGTGGGCTCGAAAGGCCAAATGGCCTACACCTACTAAGTTTTTATTTTAGGGGCAAGGGTTCTGGGTGTGCGCTTGATACAACTTTCAATATGAGGAATTTTTGGACTTTTTCTCATTTAGTACAGACATTAAAGAATTATTGTAGGAATGAAATTTCTTTTATCTATTTGTGAAAGAGTATTGACTGGAGAACTTTCACTAATAAACTGTGTGATAAACTTTACTCAATATTCAAATACAGATAAAATATCACTTGGAGCGTTAGCCAGAGTTATTCAGAAGAAAAACAAGCAGTTTGCTTAAAAGAACACATGACTGCTAAAACGCTCACCTGCACACAGATCCTCTGCCAAAGAACAAGCACAGACTGAATCAATACCTAAACAAACAGATGTAACATTACTGCACATATGAAGTAAAAGTCAAAGGAAAAACAAAGAAATTTGCAAATATTATAGACTACATAGAGCAAGTATCAAAGTATACATAATTCAGCAGACATAAGTGCAGATACAAAAACTATCTGTTTTTGGAAGCAGTTGGGTAGATGAGAGTGTGTGTTTAATTCATCAGCTTCATGGTTAACTCCAGAAATTCTTCAGGGTCGATATTTACCAATCGATCAATCTGCTCAGAGATGCAAGGACACACCTCTGGAGCAGGTGGGACTTGAACCCAGGCCTCCAAGTTCAGAGGTAAGGACAGTACTACTGCCCGACAAGAGATCTAGGCCATCAGGGTGGTATCCTAGGCTCAACCATCTTCAGCTGTTGACTTTCCCTCCATCATAAGGTCAAATGTGGGGATGTCTGTCAACAATTGCACAATGGTCACCACTATTCCCAACTCCTCAGATACGGGGGCATTCCATGTCCAAGTGCAACAAGAGCTGGAAAATATCCAGGTTTGGGCTGAAAAATGGCAATTAACATTCACGCGACATAGGCCATGACCATCGCCAATAAGAAACAATTTAACGACCACTCTTGACATTCAGTGGCATTTACATCACTGAATCCTCCACTATCGACATCCTGGGGAGTCACCGCAGAAAAGAAACTGAACTGGTCAAGCCATTTAAATATGGTGGCGACAAGAACAGGTCAAAGGCTAGGAATATTGCAGAGAGCAATTCATCTCTTGACTCCCCAACATCTACACCATCTACAAGGCATAAGTCAGCTGCATGATGGAATAGACCCCACAAACCTGAGTGTGTACAACTCTTGAAACCCAAGAAGCTTAACACTATCCAAGACAAAGCAGGCTGCTTGATTAGCACCACATCCACAAACATCCACTACAGACGCTCAGTAGCAGCAGTCCATACTAATTCACCAAAGATCCTTAAACAGCACCTTGCAAACCCACAATCACTACCATCTAGAAGGACAATGGCAACAGGCATGTGGGAACACCCCCACCTGCAAGTTCCCCTCTGAACCACTCAGTATCCTTACTTAGAAACATATTGCTGTTCCTTCAGTGTTGGTCAAAATCCTGAACTTCCCTCCCTAACAGCATGATGACCATATTTTCTGGTGGGATCACTGGATGGCTATCAACAAACCTGAGTGATTTTCCCCTCCATGTCCTACAGATTTGATCCTGAAATATAGTGTCCAACCAATGCACAATTGAGATCGCAACCTAATAAAGCTTAAAGTAAAATTCTTGAGCTGCATGACTGTGTACCATCCTGGACAATGTGCTTACCAAATGAACCACAAGGACATAATCTAGATTCAATGCTGTTGAAGCTTTCAGGATTTTTGTTGCTACTCTAAGATTTTACATTTCAAGTTTTTGCATTTTTTAATGCATCAGATTTGAAAAGAAAAATCTAAAAACATTGAAGTAAAGTTAAACTGAAAAAGGGGGTAACAGCCAGTTTCCACATACATTCAATTCAAATAAAACAGGAAGGTATTGGTCCTCTATCTATGGTTGATGGGCTAGTGTGACAGATTCTGGGCACTGTAAAAGGATAATAATCCACTGAAAACAAATGGACCTAATATAGCTAGCATTAATAAATAAAACTTACCATTGTGATGTCTAACAATAAGTTCTTCCAAAAGCTGGGACAGTGGCTTGTTAAAATATTTCTCCATGTATCTCCTATCGATGAATATAACGTTCATTGGCTGCAAGCGAAGTTCTTGGAGTCGCTTATCATCAATGCCAAGATGAACAAGTATTTCTGCAGCTTCATTCCATATTTGGTCAAATTTTTCGTAAGTCAGGTGTGTGTGGAAAATCCCTTTCAAAAGGTAATCTCGCATTTCACAGATCCGCCGTAAGTAAGCTCCGGGGGATGTATCAGATCTTGCAAGCCTCCCAGTCCAACCTTTTTTGGGACGGGGAAACTTCTTCATGAACACAGCAAGAAAATGAAACAAAGGCAATGTAAAATGCAGAGTTTTTGACTTCTCTGTGGAATAAACAATATTCATCCATCTTTTTCGGACATTGCTGAAATCTGTTCCTTCTAACCGATTCTTGATTAAGACTTTATTCTTTGTAACTTCTTCATCCAATTCCTTTGGAGATATGTGGGCATCAAAAATATTCCGAACAGCTTTTGTGCCTTCCACATGTATTAAATGAAGCAGACGATAGACATTGACATAGCATTTCTTTATTAACAGCGGTTTGATTGGCAGTTCAGGGTCGAATTGTGGACAGAGGGGTCCGGCTGAATTAAAACATGAAAAAAAGGAAAAGTTATAGCAAGCGCTGAAGCTCGTAGCTATTAAATCTTTTGTTTTAAAGAGGTTGCATAAGGAAAACAAAACTTGCAGGAAGTTGAACATGCAAACTCACTTGACTTCAGAACTATCACAAAAAACGAAATAACTGCAGTACTACAGATGCTAGACATCTAAAATAAAAACAGAAAATCCTGGAAATACCCTGGGTAAGGCAACATTTGTTGTGGGAAACAGTTAGCATTTTAGGTCAATGATCCTTCTACAACACAGTTCTAGCAAAGGGATCTTTGACCTGAAGCACTGAACTCTGTTTCTATCCACAGATACTGTGTGACCTGCTGAGTATTTCCAGTATTTTCTGTTCCTAGACATTATTATATGCTCCTCCAATTTTTAAGTTAAAGTGAAAAACACATCTGAGTAATAAGTGAAGTCTGTATGAAATGTTATTTTAAGTTCATAATATGTAACGTTCTCTAATTGTGCCAATCAGGTTATACTGAGCACATGTACTATAAAGATAGCTGTATCCAAAGTTCAAGGTATCACTGCACATATTCCAGTCATTCTAGAAATATGTAAACCAGTATGTACAGGCCTCCTCAACTGTGTGCTGATTTCCAAAGAAAGTTGGAGCATCCAGTGTTTGCCTCTATCAATGTTTTGTCTGTTAATCCAAGTAACCTGAGGTGTAATATCAGCTCTTTGGGTGACACCTATTAAAACAGTAATATTTCTTTGGCAGGGTATCACGTATTTCAATGGAAGCAACATGGAATAGTAAATTGATATTCCATTATATATCACCATTATAGTGATGTGAAGGTGATGCAGAAATAGTAGAACTTGTAAACCTGCTAGCATCACTTTAATATAACATGTTTTCAAATGGCATTGTGATGAGAAAGAAGCAGAGGTAACTTATGAGTCAGCCCTGGATTTGACTGGAACGTACTAATATCAAACAACTTCCAACTAGCCATTTACATCACTCGGATTATCACTGTGTGACAGGTTATAAAAGGCTTGATTTGTTATTTTCACATGTACTGAGGTACAGTGAAAAGTATTGTTTTGTGTACTAATCAGACAAATCATAACTTAGAATAAAATTCAGAATATAGTGTTACAGCTACAGAGAAGGTGAAGAGGAAGGACCAAGGACCCAAGTTCAATTCCAGCCTCGGGCTACTATCTGTGTGGAGTTTGCACATTCTCCCGTGTCTGTGTGGGTTTCCTCTGGGTGCTCCAGTATCCTCCCACAGTCTAAAGATATACAGGTTGGTGGATTGGCCATGCTAAATTGCCCATAGTCTCCAGGGATGTATAGGCTAGGTGGGTTAGCAATGGGAAATGCAGGGTTACAGAGATAGGGTGGGATGCTCTTTGAAGGGTCGGTGTGGACTCAATGGGTCGAATGACCAGCTTCTACGTTTTAGGGATTCTATGATTCTAACAGAAAAAAAATCAACTCTAATATATGAGAGTTCATAAGTGTGATAACAGTGGGGGAGAAGTTGTTCTTAAATCTGTTGGTACGTGTCTTCAAACTTTTGTATCTTCTGCCCGATGGAAGAGGGTGGAAGACAGCATAAATGGGATGGGACGGGGCTTTGATTATGTTGGCTGCTTTCCCAAGGCAGTCCAAGTGTAGACAGAGTCAATGGAAGGAAGGCTAGTTTTCATGATAGACTGGGCTGCATTCACAACTCTATGTAATTTCTTGCAGTCTTAGGAAGAGCAGTTGCCATATGAAGCTGTGATGTATCAGGATACAATGCTTTCAATGGTGCATCATTTGTCTGGATTGTATGCAAAACAATACTTTTCACCAACAAAAAACAGAAATTGCTGGGAAAGCTCCGCAGGTCTGGCAGCACCTGTGGAGAGAAATCAGAGTTAACGTTTCAGGTCCAGTGACCATTTGTCAGTATCTAGGAGCCTAGGGATGCAGCCCAGTCCAGTCCCTGAGCAAGGTTTGTGTTCCTGAGCACAAAAGGTCCTTGCTGCAGCACTACAATGATAGTGGCCAGTGCAGCACTGAAGTGCAGAAGCAGCCTGTATGTGAAATGAACATGTGCTATGGGAATTGTAGAGGTTGGTGCATGTCGGATGTCATGATCGTGGATGTGGGATGCGTTTGGCTTGTGGCCATGAAGCATGCCCAAGGTGATACTGCCTGGTGCCCAACACAGATGTCTTCTGGATCATGCAGTGAGTTGAACAATAAGACAGTCTGTTCTGGTTTCCATGCTGAATTTTCCCGATGGCTAGTTTGAAAAACCACAACCTTTGGTGAGTTGGGCTGTTAACAAGGCGTTTAAAAAACAATGTTAAGTGACAACTCGCTGCTGTGTAGTGAAAATCCTGACATGCTGCTTGAGGAAAACATACAAGATGTGGCAAGATGATCCTGAAGCCGAGATGGCTTCGCACAATATCTCACTCAATTCTTCCACAAATCTCATCACAACCCTTACACTCACAGCATGATAAGATTTTGCCCAATGATTTTGATTCAATTTAATACAAGGTGCTTTTTGCAAGTAAAAACAATTTTACTAAACAACTTTTCAACAGAATGGTGATATTTAAAAGGAAAACTTCCAATGCTTCTAAGTTACCCAGGATTAGCTAGTCAGTTGATCATAAGAAACAGGAGCAGGAACATACATTCAGGCAATTGTTGCTTTATTACATAAAAAATCATGGTTAATCAGACTATGGCTTTAATTCCACTATCCTATCTGTCCCTCAAAACCATTAACTTCTTTGTTGATCAATAATCTGTCTAACTGTGCATTGAATATATTTAATAACCTAGTTTTCACTGCTCTTTGTGAATGACAATTCCAAAGACTAATGACTTCAAGAGGAAAAATCCCTCCTGATCCTTTGATAAGAACTATATCTGGGATAAAGGATCACTGCACTGAAAAGGTTCCTAACAAATTCACAAACAATATCCTATTGACACTGTGGTTCATGTTTCTGGACTGTTTGCAGATTTTGATACACTTAACCTCAAGTGCTAACTCTGTTTCTTGCTCCACAGATGCTGCTAAATTCTCTGCATATTCCCTTTCTGCTTTTATTTCTTATTTTACTTATAAGGTTTGGTGTCATACAACTCCTGTGAAGCATACTTAGACATTTCACTGTGTTATAAGCGCAATATAAATACAACTTATTCCTTTCTGTGCTCCAGATTTAACTCCAACATTTTCTGTTTTCAGTTGAAGTAATTGGTGGAACTACTGAAACTGATAAATCCAATAAAATACAGAATGTGAAATAATCAGTTTCCTTGACCTGCTGTGTCAACGACTGACATTTACAACCATCTGCAAGCTTCATTCTCATTTCCCTTTGCTGTTTCTTTTCTTTGTCAGGGAGCTCCCATTTTACACTTAGCACTCCCAAAAACTGAATGTGTGTGGGAAGTCAGATCAGAAGTAGAAACTTCTACCAGCTTTTAAATCAAGTCAATTAACAAGTAAAAGCAATATTTCATTCATAAAACCAATTATTTGAATCCTGTAAGAAATAGTGTAAAAGATCAAATTTAGTCTCGTAATCAGCACAAATTCTATTGCCACTAACCAAGATTAGACAAATTAATAATTACTTTGTTCATCAAATGCTTTCAGGAAACTGTTGATGTATGGTCCCAGATAAGGAAGGTCATTCTGATGTTGCACTAATGTAAACCACATGTCTGCTACACAAAGAATGGTTTTTTTGGTGAATAAGATGTGCATAAAACGTTCTGCTCCCTCCTTTTGGTTATACTTGCATAAATCGTTGCTCTCCGATTCTTTCAGCATTCCTGATTTCACAAAGTATTCCGCAAAGCGCTTCACGCTGTATTCTTCCAAGACATATTGAAAAACATCAGCATATTTCTTGATGAAGAACATACAACAGCTATCACCTAAATGACAAAAAGCCAGGGTAATATGTAAGATTGTGCAATTTGTTTTTACATTCAGAGGGGAAGATAACAACAATCCAATAAACTTTATGTTTGACAATAAATAGGCAGTACGCTCACCTAATGTTATCTGCCAAATAACCCAAGAATGATCTTAGAACAAGTGTGTATTGAAAAGTCTGATTTTGACCAAATGTTGAACTTAGTTTTCTACTTTTGACATGGTTACTGGAAATTGAATCAAGATTCCTCACATTAATTTCATTGAAATAATGCTTGCAACTTTGTGACACACAACAGCTTGAGATTGTTCTGACATTTATCCATATAAATTAGATGATTTCTCCCTAAATTTCACTTCTTTTAGCATCTTCCAGCCAATAAATTTTTATTATGAATTTTGAGAGAACATATTAAAGGCATATGAGGGTTGAGAGATTTGCATCTCTGATTCTGCAAGTTTACAGGTTGAAAGTGTTTTACAATGTTATTTTCATCAAAATAAAAAGAATAGTGCAGATATGAAAATATTCCAAACTATCTTGATTGAAGAACTGAAGTGGAGCAATGTTGTTGAAAGCGATATAAATAATTAGAGGCATAAATTAATTTTCTCACTGAAACAATCATTTAATACAATATAGTAAATGAATGAAAATGCTATTTCTTTCATGCCATTTTAGTATAATGGGAACAGTAGCATTAGGATCCAAACCAAAAAAAGTCTCTCTTGGACGACCTGAGGGTAAGTCCATCGACATCACATTGTGATCATATTGAACAAAGGCTGGCATCATCATCATTCTAGTTTTCCTAAACAATCACAGCAAAAAGATCTGATTAGCTACCATGTGGTACTTTGTCATTCAAATGAAGAAGATCTTCCACAAAAATAAGACTGAAACAATACCTCGGTTAGTAGTGGAGGTAGTAACATAATCTGCTCCCACTTTAACATTGGAATTATGAATTGGAAATGGCACTACAGCGTGTGGCTTTCCTCAAATGAGACAACTTATCTTTCTTCCTCATATCAACAAAATATTAGCATGTAGAAATAAGTGTCCAATACATAGGTAGCATTAGTAGTCAGGATAAGTCTTCTAAATCTTAATCTATAACTGCATCTAAGAATACATTATGCTTTGCAAACTTGTAAAGATTAAGCTAATTGGTTGTTCTACAGGCATTGCCACTTTTAAGACATGGGTAAACATCTTTAACACATTCTAAAATCCTTGTGTCAATATTAACTTTCCCACTTTGATGTTAACATTGTAAAGCAAGTCTCATGGAAAGAGACAGGTAAAAGCTACTGGGTATGGTTCCTAGTGTGCAATGAAGAGCCACTCTAGATTATAGAAGATGCAATAAAAGGATGTTGCTCACTCCTTATCGACAAACGCATGATGCTTATTGACTTGGCCAAAGTACAAATGGATTGGTTTTAAGGCACTGTATCAGCCATTCTTCATTTCAATTTGCCTGTAAAATCTGATGACTTTCCAAAAATAGAGCTGTTTGAAATGCCAACTGTATTTACTCTCTGGTTTGTGTAATATTTAAAAGCAATTGAAGTCAATACATCCTTAGCAAAAACTGGCGCCAGTATGACCCTGAAGTGGTTGAGCTCTTGCATATCTCTCAATTCAAATGGCAGTGCCAAGACTGTGTCACCGTCCAATGTCAGAAATTTGCCAACACCAATTTGCATCAAAACATCCTTGGCAGCACTTTGCGCCACCATGATTTCACAGCAACTTGATGCATCTCTGACGCGAGATGCTTGTAATGAGTCCTTGGAATGATTCCATGTTGAAACTTCTATTAGTACAGCTAAGCTTTAATAAATATTCAACATTATTCAACAAGTGGCTAGACAATTTATGCTTGTTAACTGAAGTTGGAATACTGTCTTTTCAATTTTACTCTCAACAAGCTCTTGTAAATAGGCTTGTAGAACTGAAATCAACTGAGGCAGGCAGCAGTTCTTTGACAATCATTTAATGCATTTTCATGAATTGTGAATAGTGTGTTGAATTTCTACTTTAAACCATTGCCATGTGGTAATATTAACATAGAGTGTCAGCTAACGAAGCATGTTCTTTTGTTTTCATGCAAAATTTCTGTCATTTGTCAGTAGTTAAAAGATTAGCAATAGAACAACAGGTCACAATTGCCTAATTGTTAAGTTAAATCTTTTGTCTTAGGCCACTTTGTATATGGTTTTTTTTCTGTGCTTTTTTAAAATCATTTGAACCTGTGAACATATAATCGTATGCTACTTATTGCTATATGCTTTGATCACAGCACTCTTTGTTGCCATAAGGGATCTTGATCAGATGGGCCAATAGGCCGAGGAGTGGGAGATGGAGTTTAATTTAGATAACTGTGAGGTGCTGCATTTTGGAAAGGCAAATCAGGGCAGGACTTAAGGTGCAGGGATCTCAGGGCAGAACTTGTACACTTAATGGTAAGATCCCGGGGAGTGTTGCTGAACAAAGAGACCTTGGAGTGCAGGTTCATAGTTCCTTGAAAATGGACTCGCAGGTAGACGATAGTGAAGACGGTATTTGGTATGCTTGCCTTTATTGGTCAGTGCATTGAGTATAAGAGTTGGGAGGTCATATTGTGGCTGTACAGGACATTAGTTAGGCCCCTATTAGAATACTGCATATAATTCTGGTCTCCCAGCTGTAGGAAGGATGTTGTGAAACTTGAAAGGGTTCAGAAAAGATTTCTAAGGATGCCAGGGTTGGAGGGTTTGAGATATAGGGAGAGGCTGAATAGGCTGGGCTATTTTCCCTGGAGAGTCAGAGGCCGAGGGGTGGCCTTGTAGAGGGTTATGAAATCATGAGGGGCATGGATAGGGTAAATAGCCAAGGGGTGGGAGAGTCCAAAACTAGAGGGCATAGGTTTAAGGTGAGAGGGGAAAGATGTAAAAGGGACGTAAAGGACAACTTTTTCACACAGATATTGGTGCATGTATGGAATGAGCTGCAAGAGGAACTGGTGGAGGCTGGTACAATTACAACATTTAAAAGGCATCTAGATGGGCATAGGAAGTGTTTAGAGGGGTATAGGCCAAATTCTGGAAAATGGGACAGATTTATTTAGGATATCTGGCCGGCATAAACGAGTTAGACCAAAGGATCTGTTTCCATGCTGTACATTTCTATGACTCTATGACTATGACCATAAGCAATGAAACAGAATTAGACCATTCAGCCTACTGAGTCTGCTTCGTCATTCAATAAAATCATGGCTGATCTGATAACCCTCAATTCTATTTTCCTGCATTTTCCCTTAACCTTTGATTACTTAGTGATTAAAAGTCAGTCTATCTCAGCCTGGAACATAAAAATGACCCAGCCTCAATAGCCCTCTGGCAAAGATCCACAACCTCTCAAAGAAGAAGAAATTCTTCCTCATCTATGTCTTAAATGTGCAAATCCTTATTCTGAGATTATGCCCTCTAGTCCTAGACTCTCCCACAAGGGTAAACAACTTTTCCACATCTAACTTGTCAAATACTCTAAGAATCTTGTATGTTTCAATATGGTTGCCTCCGATTCTTCTATGTTCCAAAAAGTACAGACCCTATCTACTCAACCTCTTCTCCTAAGACAGTCCCTCATAGCTGGTATCAGCCGAGTATCAACCTCCTCAATGAGCTCAATGCTTTTTATGCTCAGTTTGAACAGAAGATCAGTGAAATGGTGTCACCTGCCCTGACAGCCTTGATACACCTGTACCCAGTCACTCCTGCAGACACAAGGTCAGCCTTCTTAAGAGTGAACCCCCAATACTAGCGACTGGCCTGATGGGGTCCCTGGCAGTGCACTCTGATCCTGTGCAGACTAGCTGGTGGGAGTATTTGCAGATGTCTTTAACATCTCAATACAATGAAGTGAGGTTCCTGCCTGCTATCTTGATCCTGCTATCTTGATAACTATCTTGATTTATTGCCTTATGGTCACATGTATTTTGTTACAAAATACAGTGAAAAGTGTTGTATAATGTCGCCACTCTGGTGCCATCTTAAAACTCAGAAAAGTATACCAAAACATAGAATATAAAAGCCGGAAAATGAAGAAAAAAAGAAAATGTGTTCAACTTTATGGTCCTACTCCTCTGCCATCTTACTGGATATCACCAAGGTGCCAAAGAAAAATCAGGTAATGTGCCTTAATGACTACCGCCTGGTGGCTCTGAGGTTAGCAAATGGCACACATCAACTCCAGTCTCCCAGACTGCCTTGACTGACAGCAATTCACTTCTGTCGCAATAGATCCATTGCAGATGCCATCTCCATGGCCCTACACTCATCCCTAGGACATTTGGATAACAAGGACACCTATATCAGACTCCTATTTATTGACTTTAGCTCTGCCTTCAACACCATAATTCCAACCAAACTCATCTCCAAACACAGAGACCTAGGACTCTGCTCCCCAATCTGCAACTGGATCCTCGACCTCCTGACCCACAAACCGCAATCACTAAGGCTAGGTGACAACACCTCCTCCACAATAATCCTCAACGCCAGTGCTCCGCAAGGTTGCATACTCAGCCCCTTACTATACTCCTTGTATACTCACGACTGTGTGGTCAAATTCAGCTTTAATTCAATTTATAAATTTGCTGATGGCACCACTATCGCTGTTTAGATCTCAAACAATAAGACATAATACAGGAAAGAGATAGACAGCTTAGTAGTATGGTATGAAGACAACAATTTCTCCCTCAAAGTCAGCAAAATGAAAGAGCTGGTCACTGACTTCAGGAAGCAGAGTGGAGAATGGGCCCCTGTCGGTGCAGAGGTGGTTGAGAGCTTCAAATTTCTAGGAGTAAATATCACGAACAATCTGCCCTGGTCCATCCATGCTAACGCTGCAGTCAACAAAGTATACCAACATCTCTACTTGCTCAGAAGGCTAAGGAAATTCAGCAACTCTTACCAATTTTTATAGACGCACCATAGAAAGCAGCCTATCCAG